CTCTTTCCCGGATTCCCATGTTCCCTTGTCGGAATCTTGTAATAAATTGTATGAAGAATGCAGATCCAGGTTGCGGGTCCTGCTCATCACTCACTTGAAAGAACAATGCAATGCTTGTTTTATGAGTGAGTGCACCCAACTTCCAGATATAGGTGCCACCCTCTCCAGTCTCATCATCACTCACTAGATTGTTCCATTTTTTAAGAGAAACACAAGGGCCAAGGGCTCCACAGATTTTTACGTCTTTCGTCGTCACTACTTCAATTGTCGCATCGAAATACATATTCAAGTTTCCCTCTTCATCACGAGTAAAAATGTGCTGCAAACAGTTTCTGAATTGATCTGATTCAAATGACTCTCCCAACATCATAAAACCACCCGAGCTCTCAACAGTGTCCTTAATCTCAGCTACTCCAACTTGATCAAGAGAACAAGCAAACAAATCAAGAATAATTGATGACTCCGATAACCTCTGTGCCAATCTCCTGTAAAAACTGCGTGATTTTTTGTAGTAAGGTGCACAACCATTGATAAGGTCCCAGTGAGTTCTTATGGAATTACCAAGATCCGAGTCCACAACAATTCCTGGACCATGAGTTGCAGGTCCAGAAGTGAAAACCATGATCCGGGAACCAGTGCTTACAGAGCATCCTTCCAGAAGCCCAATTGCAGCTGATATTGCTGCCCCTGTACATCTCTGAGGGCGATGGCCCGGCAGAACTTCACGCGAACAATGAATCTCTTCGATCACAGTAGTGATATTGAACTCACATTCAAATACCGGCATTAAAAATCCCTGCTTCTGAATAACTGGTGTAGTTCCAATCTGCTTTTGCTTCGTATGTTTCAAGCCGAGAAATTGTTGGGTCTGAAGATTTAAAACAAAATACAAATCTGTGTTTAAAATCTTAGCAACACCGCAATTGAGAAAATGAATCCGACTAAGAATCTATAATGCAGCAAGCAACCAAAGTTGCCAACTTTTCACTTCCTACCACAATTCTCTCCGAAAGCATCAATTAGATGAAAGTAATGATATTTGACAAATGAATTAGTCAATTAGAAACATGAAGAAACTAGAATAAGAAGTACATAAAACCAAAACATAATAACACTTCAAAACTTATGTCACTACTACTTATTTCAAAGTCATAACACTACGGATCATTAAATGGAAATTAAGTTTATGAAAATCAAGTTTAAGTACCAAGATTTGCCAAATACAAAATTACACACCACAAAAATCAACTTAATTAAGATAAGTAAAAACACTAGTTAAGATTGAGCAAACAATAAAGAAGGAAAAAAAAAATGAAACTTGAGAAAGCAAAATATTACCTGATCCGAAGACAACTCGCGATCTCCATGGAGCAAAATGGCCCTCGAGCACTCGCTGAATCCGATATCATGAACGCGAACCATCGAATCAAACGTGATCAGACTCACCAGAGAATCCTCCGGCAACTGCTCCACGACGCGCAGGAGCTCGTTCTTGAGTCCTCGAAGCTCGTCGTCGGCCGAGCAAACGTCGACAACGAACACAAACGCGGGACCTAGCATTCCAACCCCTCGCAAATCCGACGACGACGGCAGCGACGACGCCATGGACGAAAGCGAGAGCGTAGACGAGGACGACAGTCCGTGGCCGTGGTGGTTGTAGTTGAGGCTCAAACCGGACGGGGCGCGCGTGGGCGCGACCTTCCGATCGCGCGCGTACTCGACGACGCTGTAGGAGGGGAAGAGCTCGGCGGGGAGGTTGGTCTCGGCGATGCCGGCGTAGGAGGGGGGGAAGGAGTTCTTGCCATGGCAGAAGGGGCAGAACCAGAGGCGAGAGGGGTACTGGACCCTGGCGTAGGGGTTCAAAACGGCGCCGCATTGGGAGCAGAGGAGTGGCTCGTAAGGGAGGATCGGGAGCTCCGGCTGGGGCATCAATGGCGTGCAGATGACGCTGAGAGGGATGATCAGAGCTGCCGAGTCCAGCTTCGACGGCGGCCACGAGTTCCAGGACCACCGGAGGCCCTCGATCGCCTCCAATTCGAGGAAATCCATTGGGGAAGGAAGAATAGGAATTCAGAGATTCGTTGGGGTTTCTGATTCGGACATGGGAGATGACGATTAGATTGGGCTAGTGAAGGAAAAGACGGGAAGCGAATCTTCGAAAGCTTCTTCTTTCTGTAACAGAATTTTTATTGGTGTTTGGTTCTCGGGAAAGTTGAGGAAATGGGGGAAACTGGAAATGAATTGGTAAACCCCATGGAGGGGTTAAGGTCTGAGATGGCAAATGAACTATAATTATTATTTTTTTTTCCTCTGAAGGGAAACCTTCATCAATTTTCGGTGGATTCTTTCTGTCTCAATAGCTTTAATTTCATAAATGGTCTGAAATTTAACTTTAATATCACTTTAATTTTGATTGTTTAAACCTCACACAATTAGTTTAGGAAGTTTTATTTTATTTTAATCTTTTCATTAATTAGATATTAAAATTTGATAAAATCCGTATAAATTAAGAATTAAAATTAAAAATAACTAAGATTTTGAGATTATATATAAAAAAATTTTACTTTGTCAACTGTTTTTGTCCCTAAATTTTATATGTTTTCAATTTTAATTTGTAATTTTCACATATTTCGTTAAAGATTTAACATCAAGCTGATAAAATGATTAAAATTAAAACAAAATAAAATCTCAACAATCAATTGGAAGACGTTTTAAAAATCAGAAATTAAAATATAATTAAAGGTAAACTTCGACCCTCCTATGTGGCCGTCAAATTAAACATACTTAACATATTTTTAAACTTAAATTACTTGAAATAGCGGAATAAATTTTTTTCTTTATTTTCTTATCGAAATAAATACTTAAAATATATTAAGTAATAACTTCATAAATCGTAATAATAATTTTCTAAAATAAAATATTAAATTTCTTAAATTTTTTTTTAATTTCAATTGAAATAAAGCCTTCTAAAATATCTTTCAAACTAAATGGCGTTTAAACTCTTGTTTCACATACTCTTTAAAAACCTTTCTAAAACTAATCAATCCAATCAAACTATCAATATAACTTTAAATAGGATTTTATGAGAAATCTTAAATTTAAATACTTCTTAAAGTCTTTCAAAAAAAAAAAACAATCATTTAAATTGTCATATTTAGAAATTCGTATATTTGTTGCACGGACTGTTGCAACATTTTAAAATTTAAATACTCAAGACTAAGGTTGTTAGCCACAACATCGATTCTATTTAATATACATACATACATATACTTTTCAAACATATATGCTTGAAACCTTTGAATCATATATGTATATATATACATATATATATATATACACACAACTTATTTCTAAACCTTATGCGGAAGATATTTGTGTAAGTGGTATCCATTCCCATCTATATCATTCATCCGCCGCCCACCATGTCCTTCAAATGTTGCTGATAAGTTTTTATCTACAGCATGAACATAATTGAATGAGCATTTACTCAGCAAGTAGAAAATCATTTTCGTAAAACATAACTTTAAAAACATTTAATAAAATATGCATGGACCGATTATGCTTCATTATGATATTCTCTTAAGAATCTATCTTTTCTTTTCTTATCTTTTCATACGTATGGGCCCAAGTGTTCGTACTGGGTGTGTGCAATCATTGAAAAGTTAAGAGTTCGTGAAAGTCCTTAACAACCCGAGATCCTGTATGCCTTCATAGGCCTTTTACATTTTTTTTCCTGAACATGAGCCTCCTAATCTCAGGAGGTTGGTACGACACTCTTCACTCAACGTTTCACTTGTCTTATTGTGTGTATGTAGTATGACATACTACTACACAACAACACCTTAAACATAATCATGGTATGCAAATATAAATCACATTGCATAACCTTTCACATATAAATAATATACCAAATCATGAACATAGCATTTCTTAAACATAACATATCATGACATTATATGGCATAGCACTGATCATACATTTTTGTAATTCATTAAAAGTATGAAAACATTTTTAATTTGAAAACCGTTATTTTCATGCTGTAGGCGAGATTCTTATTTACCCGGTTTCCAATAAAAGCATAATTCTCTACTCGCCAAGATCCTTTATTCTCTACTGTTAAGGAACACCTATTCAGAGGGTGAGATTAAGTTTTCGTATGCTATTTTCATTTAGCATAGTCATAAAGGAATTAAATCCTTTCTTAGAACGTATTTATCTTTTTTTTATTAAGGATCGTAAAAATTTGTAATTTCTATTTATAAGAATTAATTAAATCATCATGATTATGTCTTCCTTGATTGCCCTTACAAATTCGTGCTAAGTTAACAATTAATTAATTATCTTATCCATATAATAAGTCTAATAACTTAATTAACTAATTGTAGTAATTAATTAACCCTCTTATTTATATAATAAGTCTACATAATTTAGTTAATTAAGTTTAATAGTTAATTAACTTCTTTACCCATATTCTGTCTAAAATAATTTAATTAATAATTAATTAAATTATTATTCATAAATTACACTTTTAATAAACTTTACTTTATCGCACTTGAGGGGCTCATAACAATGTTGAGGCCAGTTTTGACGTCATAAAATTAAGGATCTAGCTTATCGGCTTTTACGATTTCTTGTTAAAACGCTTATTTGAAAACCTTTAAGTTTTATTGGAAAACTATATATGATGTTTAACATAATCATAAACATAATTCTCATAATTCGCGGTCGCGCGGGGTGTCTGGTAGTCGCGCGGGGCGCACGGCTGGTCGTTTGGGCCGCACTGCTGGTTGTTCGGGGCGCGTGGTACAGCGCACGGGGAGCGCGCGCAACGACGGTCTAGGCGGCACACAACTGGCAACTGGCTAGGCATGCTGGTCGTGCGTTGCTGGCTCAGTATCATTTCCTCATGTATATTTTACATAGAATTCCTATACTATTTCCGGTGTACATAAATTGTAAATATTCAAAGACACGAAACCCTAGATACAATTTTCTAAATTCTAAGGAACCATAACCGGCAAAATTGAGCATGCTTATAATAATTATTAAAATTAAAATAACTGCATACTTCATGCATAATTCATGACAAAAAGGAAACCTAGAATGCCACCCTCTAAATATCAAATCCATATAGTAAGGAGAAAATAGATCGTTTTGATTTATATATATGGCATAATCACGAGTAGGCTCTGATACCAATTGTTGGAAGACAATGACAGAGACTGGATATTAGGCTTGTGATGAGGAAGCTCAATTGTGATCTGCTTGTCTTCTTGGCGAGGAGGTTTGTGCTGGTCTTGGAGATATGGCACAACAGCGTTGCCGCTCGACGATAAAGGGCGATTCGGAGGTGGGGTAGCGTCGATGCCGACGCCGGCGCCGGGCGGGGTGTCACAGAGAAGAGAGGTAGAGAGAAGAAAGGCTAGGGTATTTAGTGGCGGCTATGGTGACTAAGAAAGCATTTGATATACAAACTAAGTGGATTATTAGTTATTAGGCCTCGTTCAGTTTGCCGATTTGAGTTTTCAATTAGAGTTGAGATGTGACTTTATTTGAGAGCTTTTAACTATAGCAAAAAAAAAGTTAGATGTTACTTTTTTGTGAGAGCTTTTAACTGTAATAAAACTTGAATTGAAACTCGAAAAGAAGGTTACTTTTGTCTTTTTGAGTGTATTATTCGCTGGATTAAATCACAAAAGGATTAAAATGGTCAATCACACTCGTCTTGCACAAAAATAAGGTCATTTTTCATTGCCTGTCCCAAAATCCAAATCCGAAGACGACATGCAACTACTTGGCTTAGAGAACACATACCAATGCGCTAAATTATGAGCTAACATATTGAACGCTCTAGAAATCTTAGACAAACAATAGGCTTTAAACTTAGATAAAGAAGAATTAATTTCATCCACAACGTTACTGATCTCCCAAAAAGGCTGGCCACTAGAGTCTCCCTCCCGAGGAGGGGTTCGCGTCTGATTAGCTAGTTAGTGAGGCAATAGCTTACTGAGGCGATGATCAGTAGCTGGTCTGAGAGGATGATCAGCCACACTGGGATTGAGACACGCCCCAAGATGACGAAATCACCATTCGAGGAGATTGTGTAACAAACTGAAATGGAGGCTGCAAAGGCTTCAGTTGTAAGCGGAGAGAGGGTTGTTAGATGGTCCAAATGATGTTTGCCTGAGGTAAAGTTTTTCTTAGAGGAAAAAATACAAATGTGTAGTTTCTATAAGCCACAAAAAAAAAAAAAAAAGCACAAAAAACGACATGCTCTTTTTATCAAAGGACAACTTATGTGCGGCATATTTAAATAAACAACAGTAAACTTCAAAGGAAAAACAGTCTTTTGATATTTAAAAAAAAATCGAATTAAACTAAATCACTATTAAGTGTTTTATAATTTTGATAAATACTTTTTAAAATTGTATGAATGAGAATCTTTACTTTTTAATTTTGTTTTATAATATTTTTACTCAAATAATTACACTGCATTCTTAAAGGTTGATTCTGTTTATTTCATCGATTCGAGTTTAGAATTTGAGTTGTAAAAAGCTTTTAGAAACAGTCACATCTAATATTTTTAATACAGTAAAAAACTCTCATATAAAATCACATCTCAACTCGAATTAAAAACTCGAATCAACGAATTAAACAGGTCCGTAAATTCTCAATTTTTTTCAAAAAGTATTTTTGACATTTCATAGAAATCATAAAGTTATTTATTCACACCTTCAAAAAATAAATAAAAAAACCTGTTTATTTACAAAAATATAAATAACTTCATATTATAAAGAAACCCAAAGGATCACTGTTCACATACTCACGCATCACTGTACGGTGAATTTTTCTTTTCCCGTAATGCCCTTTTCCTCTCTTTTCCTTCCCATCTTCTGGACGGGGGCATTTTTGTCATTTCATCTCAAATTGGGTGTCTTCTGTTGGTCTGAAGCCCTTCGCCTTCTCTCTTTTCTTTGGTTGCTTTGTTTCCGGTGCCTCTTCCCCTCCTTTTCTTTCTTCAGATTTTGCTCTTGATTTGTTGTTTTTTGGTTGCTCTTATTTCTTATTTCATTCTGGTCTTTCCAATCGTTTCGGTCCAGGCTTCTTTTGTTCGTCATCGATCACAATTTGCAGCTTTGATTAGGGATTTCGCCTGACATTTTTATGTCCTTTTCGCCTTTTTTTTCCTTTTATTTTCGTCTTTTGGTTGTTCTCATTTGGGATTTTGGATGTGTTTTTTCCTCTATTTCTGCTGTTTCGTGTACGGATTTCCGCCGTGAATTTCATGCGTTTCCCCCCCTTTTCCCTT